TACAGAGCACAACTGCGAGACACTGTGAACACGGCACGAACTGTCGGGTTCCTTAATAGGAGGGAATTAATTCATCATTTATACTGCAGCACACAGCTCGCGAAGCAAAAAGAAATGAAATCTCGTTGGAACAAAGTCACATGATCGCGTGCTGCTTATCTGAACTTCAAAACCATAATGCTGTACGAGTATTCAAGATATGGGCTCGCGGGTTACGTACCGACAAGTCAGAATGATGAAACTAATCCAAGGAATTTCTTCAGACTCGAGTATGTCCGTAATAAAGACGCAAATCACTTGGTTTCAACGTCTGTATTTATGATCACAGAAAAAACATAGCTATGTTTCGTCATGTTATGAAACTATACGTATAGTTTTAAGACATAATATATGGCAACATTAGAAGCCGAGTAACTATAGGCGTGAAATACAGACACACTGATCGCTGATTAGTTGTGTAGTTGACATTCAGTCTCGGTTTTGGGGGAGGAAGGGCAACTCATATGATATGTACTTAATACCTTTTTTATTTATAATTCAAATCATTTTAAAAATCATTATTAATGTACAGCTTTCATTAAAAGGACATTTACTTTCGCCGGAAAAATTCTCTGGTCTGCAGAATTCACTGTGAAACGTAATGTGAGGTTACGATTTTATGTCGTCAATTAGGTATTATATATGTTCTTTTGAATGTTAGCAAGTAGTTACGAGCAGGCTCAGAAGGTGACACCAGGGAAGGTATACTCAGTCAATATTACAGTGCCCATAGTTACCAAAAAGAAAAGCGGCCTCCTTAGTCTAGAGGTAACGTTCCCACCTCATGACTCGTGGTATGCGGGTTCAAACCCGGCGGAGGTCGTGGAATTTTTAAGGGCGGAAAATTCAGGGAACAAGTCCTCCGGGAGGGAATTTAAGCCGTGGGTCCCGTGTCGTAGCTTTACGGCACGTAAAAGAACCTCATATCTCCAAAGGAGGTCACTGAGCTAAATTGAAGGACATTTCCCGCCCAACAGTAGTCTCTAACGCCTCTGACAGATGGCGGAAGCATTATAGATACCGCCAAGCCAGTAGAGACCGAACTCGCTGGCTCGGTCGGGACTGATGGCACGCACCAATATCGGTAGGTTATAGAGACTGGTAGAATATCATAGAGGGGAGAACAACGGACCAATACTGGTCTTAGTGCATGGAGAAACCCACCCTCCCCAATAACTAACTAACTAACTAACTACCAAAAAGAAATATTTCTAGATAGCAGTACTGCTTAATGTATATGCTTATTGTAGCTGTAGTTGTATTTTTGTTGTTTTTAAACATTTTCCGTTGGACTCATAACGGGCNAGGAGTTGTATTTTTAGAACACCGCTAAGTTATAAAGGTTGAGTATTTTTGTTGTTTTTAAACATTTTCCGTTGGACTCATAACGGGCTCAGTACTGATAGACTGTTAGACATTGCTTTTTATTCATACAATTTTGCTTCGACGTGCATAAGAGACATGCGTTTTAGAAGGAATTTATATCAAACAGATTTATGTTCAGCCGTCAGCAGTATACGTACAGAATACTTTAGTGGATTACTGGATAAGAAGAGGAGCTGGGATAGCTCAATTTGTATAGAAACAAGCTGTGGGCAGGACGACCTGGGTTTGATTCCCAGCAGGGGCAAGAGCCTTTTCTCTACTTCACAGCGTTCATACCGGCTCTGGGGCCTATCAAATGGGTACCGGTTGCTCCTTCCCGAGGCAAAGCGCTTGGGGCGTGAAGCTGACCACTCAATTCCATCTAGCGCCGAGGTGAAGAATTGTGGATCTATACCTCGACTCCCCCATACGTCTTCATGACGTGGTGCTTAATTAAGCATAAGGACAACTTGTTTTTTTTTCTTTTACTGGACAAGAAGACGAAGGAAAATAAAAAACAGATATTTTCTAATACGCAGCAATGCGTGGATAATACTCGTGAATTTGCGACATAAGTATGCGAAAATATTGAATTTGTATCGTGAAATATTAAACTTCTAGGGAGGTACATTAAGTTAACAGAAACCTGTCTGAAACCAAGAAAATACTCATATTCGTTGGAATTCCGTTTTAAGTAGCTTTTGCTATGTACTCCAGGAGCCGGGATAGCTCAGACGGTATAGCGACTAGCAACGGGATGAACGATCGAAGGGTCGGAGTTCGAGTCCCGATAGGATCAAGAATTTTCTCTTCTCCACGTTGTCCAGACCGGCTCTGGGGTCCACTCAACCTCCTATCCAATGGGTACAGGGGGCTCTTTCCCCGGGAGTAAAGCGGCCGGGGCGTGAAGCTGACCACTCGTCTCCAGCTAGTGTCGAAGGCCAAGAAAATGCGAATCCATAAATCCACCCCCCATACGCCTTCATGGCGTATTGCTTAATTAGATAAGCACAGGGACAACTTTACCTTTGCCTTATCTCACTCTAGGTAGTCTGTCCATTATTCACCTCCAGAAGATTTGGATTTGGAGAAATGTCAGTATCACAAAGTTATCCCTAACATCCAAAGAGTTCAGCAGGAAAGCACGCGTAACACCGCGATGTGCGGTCATGTAGGGGGATGGTGTGTGGTGTGCGGGAGAACGATTGAAACTGCGCGGTGTCCAAAATAAACCAAGCAAGCAAACAGGCAGGCAGTCTGACATCGGTGCCAACTTAGGCCAGTTTTTATATTCAATATAGACAGTCAGTGGAGAAAGTTAATAAACACGTGGAGTATCTAGTGTTATTCCCAGTGACATAAAATAAAATGAAATAAGATACACACATTAATAAGATTATCAGCCTAACTCTGCGGTGCCTAATGTTTTGATTTAAAAATCCACTATATGTTTCGACCTCCAGGTACATACATAAACGCTTATATAAAAAGCACGACGATTATTTTGAACATTAACGATTGCCGTGAATTTCTTAAAAAGGTTGCGGAAACTGGGTCTGTTTTCGTAGCATGCATAAAAGAAAATAAATACTCGGTATTCCATGAGAAGGAGCTATTCTCTGTCCTTGTTTAAGCGGATAATGTACTTCGCTGATACCAAAATTCAACAGCGGGAGATAAGAAAAAATTTCAGTAAAAATTATGAACGGCCGGTCACGGTAGCCGAGCGGTCTAAGGCATGTACTGTCTCTGCTCGCTTGGAAACCGGGATCGTGGGTTCGAATCCCACTCAGAGCATGGATGTTTAGTTTGTGTGTGTGCGTTTTTCTGTGTTTGTGTACAGGTAGAGGCCTTGCGACGAGCTGATCACCCGCCCAAGGAATCCTACCGAATGTGTAAGATCTAGAAAAACCGAAGTGAACGGAGAAGTTCATGGAGGTAGGCCTAGGCCCACTGGGGCTGTAGTGCCAAGGAAAAAAAATGAACTATAAGAAAAGAAATTCTGAACTCACCTATAGGAAGAATAAAAATCCACCATACGGTTACTATAAAACGCCTTAAAGACAGCGGTAGCAGACAGTTATCTGTTAACGTCAAACATTGTCATCGGTAGATAAGAGAAAGTGTCATGTGGTCAGCACAACGAATCCCCACGGCCGTTAATTTCGGTTTTCTAGACCGGATCCGCCATTTCCTCGAAGTAGCTCCTCAATTATCCTCAGGAGGCTGAGTGGACCCCGTTCCAGACTCACTACAGGGATAGACAACTGGCAAAATTATCTCCTATAAGAGGCAAAAAAAATATCTACTATAAGAGGCAAGAAAACAGATCAACGTGATACAAAAAAGAGGAAATTGCACCAGACGACCACCAAAAATATAGAAAACAGGCTAAACCGAACTGTCCTCTAACTTACCGACTTAATGGTAAGCGGTACACAAAGGAAGAAAATTCCACTCGTGTTGGTTCATCAGACTGGTCACACTAGACGTTTAGACTTCTATTTTTAAGTAGGTTTACTTTACTGGATTGCCGATCACAGTGGCCGCATGGTCTAAGACATGACATACTTTCGCTCGCTCGAACACTGGGATTGTGGGTTCGAATCCCACTTAAGGTATGGATATCTGCGTTTATTCTGTGTCTGTGTTAGGTAGCGGCCTTGAGACGGGTTGGCCCCCCATCCAAGGAGTCCTACCGACTGTCTTAGATTAAGAATCTGAAGTGAAACGAGCATTTCAAGGATGTCCTATGCTCCAAGTTGGAGCAACAGGAATAGAAGAAGACTTTATTTGATTCCATTTGTAAAACCCCGGCCTTATACCAGTTTATACGGCGACCTTCATCATACTGGTACTGGGTCTGTTGTTTGGTCGTTACAGTGTGTGGACATGTGCGATATTTGCGATGTTTCGAAGGTACATGCTGCCTCCATCTTCGGGGTAAACCGTGAAGATCGAGATAGCATAGATATCAGAAACTTTGGCAACATCACCTACATCCATACGGTGTAACAACCCAAGAATTGAATCAACATTAATAATAAATCACCTAACCACTACTCCTACAATCAATAAGCATGGTACACTAGTATTTTTGCGACCCACTCTAAGCCAGCCTATCCGTCTCACCAATGTTACTCCTGCCATATTCACCAGGTGATGTTATAGATAAAACATCTTGTATCCTGAATATCTAGTTTTTACAGAAATACTAAAATGAGTAAACCTGGTTTTGAAAATAGTCCCACTGTTGTATTTATTCCCAATGAGCCTGAATTTCTGAGATATGCCCTTAACACAGCGAGTGACCACAGTGGCAGCAAGTGCTCAATGTATATGAGACCGATCTGTTTGTCCTGTTTCGCTGAAGGAATTGATTTAACGTAACCAATGATTGATAAATCAGTCTAATGTTTTCAGCCTCGTTGTAGAAAGTCGTGTTCTGCTCGGCATCAAGTTTCCAAAACGTCGTTCTACGCTTTAAAAATGAACGCAAGACGAAGGACAATGTCCAAATCAAGTCAGAGATATTATTACAGCCATTGTCAGAAAGCTTTAGACATAACTTATGTGAATTGTTTGTGTGTTTACAGCTACAACGCTGTGGCCACTGTATGGCGTGCCGTGTCCAGTAGAAACATACTGCCTGAATGGAGGCACGTGCTTTTATTACGAGACCGTGGGAGAGCTAGTCTGTCAGTAAGTATTCCACACCGAGGTTTAATGCTGAATTTATGGCTAATAAGTTTCTGGGAAACCGTTGCCGAGTTGCTACATACCAAGAAATGTTCCACTGGGGATGTCAGTCGGTATATTTGAGCATAATTAAAACATAGGCAGGAAATTTTCAAATTGATATACTACCGTGTGTATATCGAGATGGGAAATTTAATTTCCCTTGGATTACTATATGTATTCAGTCAAAATTATGTCTGTTACTATACAAATCATACCTTAAAGACGTGTCGAGAAAACGTGAGTGGTTCATTGTCGACTTAGAGGTTTTTACAGCGGTGACTATGAAGACTTTTGGGATGTCATTCAGCTACCCATAAGACAGTCTTCTTCGCGAATGATCTACTGACTACACAATGGGGAATCATGTGGTGCTGTCTGAACAAGCTCCAGGGTAGTTCTAGAAACACTGGCGAAAGGGAAAGCCCAAGTCTATGGCTCTATAGTCCTTTGTTGGACCTTGGCCGCTTTTCAGTTTCTTAATCTCTACACAATTGGTAGGATTCCTTGGACGAGGGATCAGCCCTCGCAAGGCCGCTACCTACATATAGAACAACACAAACACAGAATAAACGCAAACAGACATCCATGCCTTGAGTGGGATTCAAACACACGATCCCAGCGTTCGAGCAACCGAAGATCGTTCATGCCTTAGATCGTGTGGCCACTATGATCGGCGAAAATCAAGATTACCCAGTTTGAAATGAAACACAAGACTGTCCAGTCCATACCTTGAGGCCTGAATTGAGTATAAGGCTTTGACAACATACCCAACATAACGTTAATTCAGTGCACTTACTTTCATACGTCCGTATTTATGTTTGTGCATACAGGTCGGACTGCTTTATAACAGATTTAATATATTTCGATACATCGTTTCGATATCGACAATAACACCGCAAACAACGATATGTAAACATGAGCTGTCACCCGCCTGGCAGAGAGTCAAGAGGCTGCCCCGTTCGACCACAGATCTCTGCATGCAGAGAGAGACAGTCCTTCCAGAGTTCTGTTACACAGATGCTCAGGTCTCCTATGGAAGTCTGGTCGACATGGTCGCTTCATGCCGTACCGCAGTTCACAGTTCATGCCAATTTGTCATAATTATTTGGAAAATTTTCTGGCCACGATATTCAGGTCCTTCCAGTGGAAACAATTCCGATATCTGAATTTGTCTAGAGATTTTTAATGTTTACAAAATAATAATAATACAAATGTAGCATTTTCAAAGGCCAGAGGTCCTACTCGAAGGATGAAATTACAACAATAATGTAAGGCTATGAGACTTAGAGTTCTAACGGCGGTTTGATAGGTATAGTAGCCATCGCCGGTTTTGGCTGCTAACCTTTATAGGGCAGTCCAGCATGCTGACCACGGAAGGAAGGAAGGAAGGAAAAAAATAAGTTTGCCACATGTTTCGGTCAGTCAGTACAGTCCTGTGTCAATGAATCAGTGTGGATGCCTAACATGAACATTGCTGCCTTGCGACTTGGCTGCGTTCACAAGATGCAACCTCTTCGTTTCAAGTTAGGTTGCAAAACATTACACAGCCGGAGGCAAGAACAGCAACAAGCGTTCGCAATTAGATAAATTAGATAAAAGAGTGCAGAAAAGGGTGGCAGAAGTTACCGGAGTGTCTGAAAGGACAAAATTATTCTGAAAGTGCTAGGGGAGCACGCTGAAGAAGATATTTTATTTGGAACACATGACACGAGACACGTGCCTAAGCGATTAACTGAAACAAACAACTTTGATAAATGTGTTGCTAGGCGCACCATCCACAATTTCTATGCACAAGATGGAACGGTTCCAGTCACTGTTACATAAAGGTAAATAAGGTAAAGTTGTCCTTGTGCACGCCATGAAGGCGTATGGGGGAGAGGAGGATGTATAGATCTATGTTTTCTTGACCTCGGCACTAGTTGGAGGTGAATGGTCAGCTTCATGCCCCCGGTACCTATTAGATAGGAGACTGGGTGGACCTCAGAGGCAGTCTGGACAACGTTGAGAACAAAAAATGTTTGACCCTACCGGGACTTGAACTCCAGCCCCTCGGTCGTCCAGCCCGTAGCCAGTCACTATACCAACTGCGCTACATTATTTATACAAAAAATCTAGGAGGAGAGCACTGATTTTAATGGAAGCTGTTCAAGCCTCAGAAGAATTGTTAAGGACCTTGGATGTAGGTGGAAGAAGACGAGGAGAGACAACATACAAATAAAAGCGGATGCACGCCCAATTATGTTCGAAGACATTCATGGAGGCCATACCAGACTGAAGAATTTGGCGGACCGTAGTGATTCCAGTCGTTCATACTGGAGGAAGAGTAGACTTTATTTCTAACGCACTTCTCTATATGTATAAATCTAGGCAGAAAACCGGAGATCATCACAATGAAATGGGCAGTAAAAATTATATCCCCTAATTGGAGACAATGCTAATACCAAATTACCGTCAAACTGCGTTCTAGTCACCGAAAACGCCTCGTATCGCTACATTCAGACCGACAAACCGCCAACATCGAACTGAAAGGACGACGAAATGGAAGCCTGGCTACTGGTGGGAGACAGAGAGAAAATAAACACATCAGATTTTCTGATAACATGGTGAAAGCTCAACTGTATGCTTTAATGGAATTAAATAAGTGAAATTATCAGATTTCAGCAGAAAAAGGACCTACTGTGTTGACATTTCCTCTCCTCCGTCCCGATTGATACACCGCCGAGTGTCCTGGTCAGCGGATGTTCGCTGCAAACACGAACGCAACGTTGACAAAGAGAACGCTGAGCAAACTGTGTCGCCAGAGAAGAAACAGGGCAAGACGCATGGAAGAACACACGTCAGCATGTGGGAGAAGAGATTAGAACGTCTTTATTACGAGCAAGAAGGTATAAGAGGAGCCGCTGTTGAATGAATCATGATTGAAGATAATAAAATGGACAGCAGCAATAACAGTCAAGCGTCAAGTGCCATATGTCAGAAAGCGAAAGTCTGTCAGGGCTGGAAGAACTGCAAAAGGACTAAAAGACATTTCTGAAGAAGATTAACTAATATTCTGCGCAGTGTTAATTTTCTAGTGACATGTAGTGTAGTTAAATCAACTTTCCCTCTGTTATATATCATGATGATGTTCAATTTTATTTGGAGTGTACTGTACGAGGCCTGCTACCATCCATTCCAGCAAACTTCTAGTTAATTACTCGCTCCGAGGTTCCTCTTCACAGAGATCAGAGGCCGAAAACGACGACACCATCTTATACCTGTGTAACATACATCACAAGGCCGCGCCATAGCTCAAGTGGTTAGTCGCTGGTCAAGTGGGATTTGTGGTGGACAAACTGGAGCTGGGGCAGGTTTTCTCCGAGTACTTCGGTTTCCCCTGCCAATCTTCATTTCACCAATTGCTTCACAATCACACTCACCTATCATTTGGGGCTGGTACAATAAGCCAGAAGTGGCCGCAGTACAAGGGACTTAGTCCCACCCCACTAGCAATAAAGAAAAATACATCACGGTACTACATCTCAGAAGATACCGATCTAAATAATGTAAGATTATTAAACAGAGTTCCAGCAGAGTATATTCAGAGTTCTTTACAATGACACGTGATCTGAAGTCACTATCGATCAGCGAAAGTAAAAGTAAACGAGTACACTTAAAAAATGCCTGCTATTTTGGAACATTTCGTAAAGACATGTCAGCGTTCATTCAACAAAACCACAGACACAAGGGGGTTGTCTGAATTCTATACGTGCAAATCTGAACCAAAATTGGAACAAAAATCGGATGTTTTCGGCGTATGTAAACTTGTGCATGGGAACAGGGCTTTATGGGCAAAATGTGTTCTTAGTTCCTGCCCCTCCCTTATAAAAGCTTTAATTCAACAGATCGGTTTACACAGCGTATCCATACCTGTTCTGAAAACAACTTAGATTTCTACTATATTGTGATGCACATAACCATTGCTAGGCAACGGCTTCGTAAACAATCCCGAAGTTACGCTCTCAACAATAGAAGAAGCTATGTGTATTCCGATAAGGCAAGCAATTAAAAGAATAGCTCAGCAGCTGCAATATTTAGAAGTGTTCATGAAATAATGAAACGATTTTACACACAAAACGGACTAAAACCTTTTGTTGGGCCGATGAGCATCATTTACATATTTCGTAAATGTTCATGAAGTTATATGCCATGATCCTGCAATTTAAACTGCGATAAAAGTTAGAACATACTGATTACGAAAATGTATTTATGAAGAACCAACCATATACTACATAGTATGTTAAAAGAGATTTGAAACGTGAAACGTTTTCGTCTTATCACCGGAATACTTTTTGGAATTCTAACTTCGTGCGAATAATACGCAGTGGGTCACAAATCCTACAAGGCCTTATCTAGCGTTCACATCCGCTACAACTAGCTCCCAGAAGGTACACAGCTACAACTAGCGCCTCATTTCATACTTAGCTTAACTACCAACTCAGAATGTGATTAGCTTCAACTAGCATCTAGCATTGTACGTACACATAGCGTTAACCAGCCCCCAGAACGCATACAACCACAACTAGTGCCTCCTATCGTACTCAGCCGTAACTATAATACCAACCCAGAATGTACATAGCTTGAACTAGCTCTCAGAATGTCCATCCCCTCAACCAGCGACGTTGACCGAACGTTTAATTTAATCTTTATTTTAGTCGTGGTGAGGGCTGTCCTAAATGATGTGGTGATGTTAGGGGGGTAGAATGGTGTCAGTGATGAACACTGTTTATTCGCTTATTTTACTGCTCCAGACCAAAGGCTAAAAGTCATGTAGCATCGTATAAGATTTTAGGTGGAACTGAGTAGGTTCCAGTGACAGGATTGGGAGAATACTGTCCGACATTCACCAGACAGCGATGAAAAACGCGAAGAACCTATATGTTTTGGGCGAGATTCAAACACTTCACTGAGGAGCTGCAGGC